AACTGACGAATGTTTCCAAAATGGTCCATGAAGGTGTCAGACACTACCCTTCTTGCTCAAAAGGATTAAAGTTGGGAAAGTTGATAAATGTGGTGCCTTCTAAGAAGGCATTTCATAAAATCAGAAATAGAGCCCTAGTTAGAAAGCCTGTCAGGGTCTTGGATTTGCTTCTCCAGGGAATGGAGGGGTGGTGTCCTATGACCATCCCAGCCCAGCAGCTGGGCTGCCTCCTGCCTGTCTGCTTGTGGGAGGCAGTTGTTTCGCCTCCTCCTTGGCAGTCCACAGAGGCCCACGTTGCCTGTGCTTCCCACTTCGGAAGGCAAGTGTGACCCCAAGGACACAGATCACGTTCTAAATGCAAGGTAAACATATCTGACTCGTTGGGGACACATTCAGCTAGAACATGGGCTTGTTAAAATTAAGAAGATAACAACTACATTTATAAATCAACAAATAGCATCAGGCAGTAATTTTGTCATTGTGGCTTGTCACCTGTCTGGCTTCATTTTAGAGGACAAAACACTAGCCTGTGAGTTGTAAACCAAGATGCTCATGAGGGCCAGATATAGCAAAAATAGCCTAGAAAGGCAATTGTATAGCAAGATGGAGTGCTTATGTGTGGCCAGCTTTGGGCAGGCACTGGCATGTTGGAAGCAGAGACGGGTATCAGCACAACTTCCTGTTATTCAAACAAAGCTTGAAATCGGGGCTTCTGAGTGAAAAGTCCAGCTGCAGCAGCACACTCTGCTGATTGGGTGCAGCTCACCAAATGCCAGTCTGCTGATATCCGAGACTGAACTTTTCTGCGTACGGGGTCCCTGTTCTGTCGGGTCCCCTGGAACCTACGCCCGGGCCTGCACATCGAGCCTCTCAGCAAACATTTGTTAACTGCCACTCAGTGAACCCTGGAGTTTTGGTGAGGCAATGACTGCATATGTCCAGAGAATGTTGAATCTGGCACGTGAAGGCCCTTTGCTGGTTGCGAGGTCGGCCTTTGCCACCGTCTGCATCTGTCCATTGGACTTTAGGCACGGAAGCCAGTTTCCTGCTGAGAAAACGGAGGATGGTTCATTCCTTTAAGCAAAGGCCACGTAGAACTTAAAAACAGATTTTTTTAAAAAAGAAGGGCATGTGGCTTATTTAAAAACTTTTTGTAGAGACAAGATATTTTCAGGGTGGTGACATAGGTGATGATGGATGCAGGAGATGGGAGCTTTTCGTCAACAACACTTCTACGTGATGTTCAGGGAATCATGGCATGTAAGGAATATTGCGGTAAATGATACTCTGACTCTGATGAAGGATGCTGTGTGTAGGTATGCTGAGGGCCAGTTTGTTACACCAGCGCACACAGCGGTGGATGTTGTGTCTGTGTGTATTCTGAAGGGCACACTGTCTTTCCATCTCGCTTCTGCTGCTCTTCTGCATAGGCCCTGAGTTATAACTGATGTTTGAACAGATGGGAGAGCTTCTCATTTCTACAAAGACTTGCATTTCCTAAACCCCACTGCTGAGCGGGGTAAGTGTATCAGATTCAAAGTCTTAGTCAAAATAATTTCACTCTTGTGGTCTCACCCTCAGGTCTTTCCTGTTCCCCATTTAGGAGACAGTGACAAAGGGAGTGAAAGAGCTGAAATGCAGGTGCCAGTGGGACTGCAGTGGGGAGTGGTAGGGTGGCAGAGAATGGCACTGCTGGACCGTGTGCTTCTCTGATTCCTTATTACCCTCGTTTATTGCTTGGCCATGTATCTCAAGCCCTGGCTGTGTGAATGAGGTTTTTCTACCTGATGCAACGCAAGACTTCCCAGTCCAAATCAGTAACATAAGAGGCCAACTTGTGTATTGCTGACTCTCTGCTAAGTGGTTTCCATGTGGCCTGCCATTCTACTTGTTCAACAACCCTTTTGTCAACCAGGAAGGCATTGAGATGGTCATGAAAGGTGCTACAACTTAGTGGAATGAGGAGGTACCCCTCTGCCCTCCATGTACCCTGCATATATGGCACACACTGGCTTGACTCATTTCTTGTACCTGTTGTCATAGTGTGGAAACATGTGAATTCCCAGAGGCACAGGTGTGTGTGCCTAGCTGTATTCGTATCGAACTTAAAATAACACTAGGCAGGTAATGGGGCTTTAGCAGATGCTGGAGATTCTTTGTGAAGATGTTCATGGTTACTGAACTCATGAGGGTGAAAAGAATCCAGTCTTGCCAGACAAGAGGTATCTCACCATTAGCTGCTAGTTAGTTACTCAGTCAACAGTTTTGACCTATTCAGCCTTGTACTAGGCCTAGGACAGGTGCAGAAGAAGTGAAAGATCCACCTTCTGCTCTTGAGGAGCCACTCACTGGCTCTTCGGCCTGGCTAAGACGCACCTGTGGTCAGGCTCTGCGACTGAGAAGGCCACCCACAGCTCTCCTTCAGCCGCACGGCCTCATTCCATTGCAAAGAACGTGCCTCTGAACACTATCCTTTCTTCTGCATCATGTTCCAACTATGTAGGTTACTGGAGCTGCCTACTCGAAAGTTCTGAAGCCCACTCTCAGGGTCCTGCACATGTCTTCTAGGATGTGACACTTGGGAACAGGGCTCAGGCACATCACCCCAGGCTTGGGGGCAGTTAAAGTAGCTGCTTGCAGGCCAGAGGGTAGATGGAGCTTGCGGGTGCGGTGTGGGGCATGTAGGGGATGCGGACCTCTTTGGCACAGGAGGAGGACCAGGAGGGAGAGGGGCAGAGCTCTTCAGCCTGCAGTATTCCAACATGGGCTCCCCAGGGAGACACTGATTCCTAAATTCAAGGTGGGCCTTCCTAGTGCTTTGAAGCTGTATTTGTCCGGGTAGAGAGGTAGGATTCTTGTTTAAGAGCTTGTCAGACTTAAAATCTTTGAATGTGTGGGAGGTGGGCCTCCATTTGGAACTGCTGTTGCGGAGCCTACAGATGTTGGGGAAAGCAGCTGTACTGTCTTCCAGTCCTCGGGAAGGGGAGCGTGTGGCTCTGTAAACAAGCTTTGAAATTGGTAGGGCGTTTGCATACCAGCCCGGCTGCTGGGGAAGTGCTAAGCACGTCTCTATTAACAAATACCCTGTTGCCTTGTTTCCTTACTTAAAACACTTTAGAGTGTTTCGCTCCAGTTGAGTGGCTCTAAATCCATAAATGCATAATCAGCTGACAGCAATTTTAAAATTGCAGGTCTCACTGTTGATGGAAAAATGGGAGGCTTGCTCTTCCTTGTGTGTAATTTTCACCGAGAAATAGAGGACTGGATTTAATGTCTACACTTAGAGATTTAATGTAGCCCTCATACTGAAAAAATACACCTTTCGCCAAATCCCAACTCACAACAATGGCTGCATTGTTTCTCTCCCCTCCCCCATTTCCCTGTTTCGAGAATAATGGGGTATGAGAAAGGGTTCAGCTCCTAATAGCACTGGACCCTGCCTTCCTTCTTCATTTGCTCAACAGCCAGGCGTGCTTGGCCAGCAGGGAGCCAACACTCTGCTGTGTCTCCGGGCACTTGGTGGGAAGGAGGGGAACAGGGCCTCAGCTCCAGTTCCCAGCCCAGCAGGGAGCAGGGTCTTTCTGAGCATCGGCTCACTGCGGGGCACCCCTGCCCAATTTGCCCTCACTGGCTCCAAAAGGTTCCATGGCGTGTATTCCTAATGAAAAGAAATTCAATTTGATTTTATTTTGAAAACACAGGGAGGATGTCAGGCCACCCTTTGAGGTGGATAATTGGTGATACTCCATGGGGCTCATAGAAACCAAGGTGGTTTAATCTCTGGGGAAGAGCAGGAAGACCAAGACTTATTGGAAAATTGGCTTCAGCCATGTAGGTTTCTTCGAGGTATTATTAATCTGTCCCTAAGTCATATTCAATAGTAGTAATGAATTAAGCATATGGTTTTAACTTTCCCCCACTCAACTGGCTGTCTTCTTTCTTCTCTGGAGAGCAATGGGTTGGATCTACACAAACATAAGGACCAGATTTAAATGTTTATTGCTCCGAATACCCTCACACCCCCTCTTCCCTATGCCAGTCATAAACAAAAAGAAGTGGTCAGTCATCTTAGACCTCTATTCTGGCTTCATAGCAAGACTTTCCTAAGGCCAGTTCCATCCTTGGCCCTCCTGCCACTGTGGTGACAGCACCTCTCAGAGGGCACGGAGCCTCCCTTCGGATCTTTCTCGCTTCCAGGAAGTGGTGGGTAGAGGTCAGGGCCCATCCCTGAAAAGCATAGTCCCATCTGTCCTGTCCTCCACAGCGTGCAGTGCAGGGTCTGTGCTACACACAGAGGAAACCGTTAGAAGGGGGTTGCCTAGGATGCCTCCCAGTTGTAGATGCCCAGGCCTTACAGGTACAGTGCTCTGGCCCAGGGGCTGGGGCAAGGCTGCAGATGTGGACTGGCATGTGGGACATCGCAGATGGCCTTGTTAGGTCTTTGGGTACAGAAAGAGCATGCACAAGGCAAGTTGCCCAGTTATCCTTGTTTCTTGACTCTCGCGAACAGGGTGGGGGAATAATACTGGAGGCCTCGTCCTGGTTGTCAGGGGTGGAGAACAGAGCTTGCTCTAGGGCGACCCAGACTTGCATCGCTTGTTTGGCCCAGAAAACAAGAAATCTGCTGTTTGGTGGCAAGGCCTAGAGTACAGAGCTCGAGGGCATGCCCACGTGTGGCTCCCTGGGGAGGTTGAGGGGCTGTGGTGTGTGCGTGGCTCTCCAAGGACAATGACCCCCTCCCGGGGTCCGCATCTTTCTGTCCCTGCAGCCTCACTCAGCTTTCGGGGTATTGGGTGGAGGCAGGCACACACACTTGTCTCTAGAGCAGTGGTGGCGAACCTCCTACACTGTGCTACAGCTGGCTGGCTGTTACCACGGAAAGCCCGCAAAGGTTCGCCATCCCTGCTCCAGAGCCTCGCAAACCCAGAGGCTTCCCAGCCAGCAGGGGCCTGAACGGGAGGCCCACACGCTCTCCCTTGACTTTACGTTGTGCTTCGCAGGCAGACTGTGCCCTATGGACTGTCCAACGACAGAGGAAACTTCCGGAGCAGGAGGTCCCCGGGGCTACTTCCAGGGAGCGTGCAGACACCCTTGCGCTGTATGTGTGTGGAGCCCGTCGACAAGGTCTGCGTACAGTTCTGCACAGGGACACTGGAGGCCAGCAGGTAGGATGCCCTTTCTTGTCCTGCCCATTTCCACGTATGAGCCCCCAACAGACCAGTCCATGCCAGGGCGTCTTTCAAAGCCTGAACAGGCCGGCGTGGCCACGTCCTGGTTACCCTGGTCCTGAGGACGAGCAGAGGGTGAGTGTAGACCCCACAGCCTGCGGGTCCTCTGCTCCAGGGGGCGGGTGCTGTAGCCCCTCTGACAGCCCCCTGCTGCCTCCTGCTGCCTTTCAGGTCTGACTCTGGTCCCCACATGCATTTCTTCTGACATGAGTAGCACTTTGCATAAATCTGAATAAATTGCCAAGAGTTCAAGATTGATGAATTAGCCACCTCACATCCATTAATGTTTAGCTTCTTCACAAGACGGCATGTGGGGCTCTTGGCTCTTGCTGTGCTGCTCTTCAAGGGGAGCCTTGGGGGGATCACTGGCCTGAGTTTTGCAGCGCTCTGCCCCTGTGTGTGTGGGGAGGCTGATCGGTTCGGCCCCAAGGGCGAGTGGGCGATGGGGCTTGCCCAGGCACAGCTCAGCTCACCTCTGCTTGGAACTTTCTCTCCTCATTCTCTTCACCTTGGGCCATGACTTAGCAACCCCGCGGTCAGCACTTCAGAGAGCTGGTGTCAGGGATGTGACTTTCAGACATGGCCTCAGCTAAGAGAGCCCCGACCAGGGCAGGTGCCCAGGTAGTCGGAAGTCAGGACCTGCCCTCTGAAAAAGCCAGCGTTAATTGCATTTCACCACCCTCTGGCATTTTCCACATCTGATGAATCAGAGGATGCACTGTGCTGAGCAGGCAGCCGCCCACCAGGCGCTCCACCTTCCCAAACTGAGCCTGAGACAGGGTCCTGGGGGGAGCGCACTAATGCACTGGCTGGAGGGGAAGGGGAAGGCATGATGTGCCACAGAAACCCAGCCACACAGAGATGTAGGTTGATTCATTGAAACTGGCTTTCTCCCCACAGCCATTCCAGGACAGCAGAAAAAGCAGGCCAAGAAGAGAAGGGGACGGCCGGCGCGTCCCACCTCGGGCTGCGGCAGAGGTGAAGACCGGGGCGCTCCTCTGGTGGGGCAGTGTGGGGGCGGCGATGGTCCTCGCGGCCAGGGGTCCCACGGCTCCCGTTGGGCTAGGGGCAGAGCAGCCTGAACCGTGCCAGCCCCCTGTGCCCTGTGTTCCTCCCAGGCCCAGCAGGCCGAGCTGCCCAAGTCCTCTTTAGTTTCTGCTTCTGCAGCAGCGGGACTCTATCCTGCCCCCGCGGCTCCTTCTCTGGTGGCTGTTTCCGGACAGAAGTGAAGCTCCTGGCTCAGCCCTGGGGGTCACACTCCCCGCTTTCACTTTATCACACTTTGATCCTGCTTATCTTTTCGGCATACGAGATCCCTAGCATTTCCTGCAGCCAAGCTGGGCTTTGTCATTCTATCCATCAGAAGTCATTATTAATGACTCACCGGCACATCTGCAATGGGATGGTAATTTATGTTCATAATAATAGCCTAGAGGTGGCTTCGGTTCCTACAGGCACTGATCAAGGGAAGATTAAATCGTGCTCAGTATACAGGAGACTTTCCGGTTGGTGGCAGAACTCTTCCAGTGGTCCACAGAGGGATCTGTCAGCATCCATAATGAAAATGGAGAGGAAGGAGCGGGCAGGGGCAGCACGGAGGTCCCTGGAGGGACAGCCAGGCCCCAGCTGGTTCACAGTTGGCCTCTTCATTCTTTTCCCCCTTTCTCTTTTCCTTACCCCAAACCAAAACTTCACTGACTGAGGGAGGGATGTAATTAAACCATCCATCCGGTGCATCATTTATTCATTCGGTGGAGTCGCTGAACACCTGCTCTGTGCCAGGCGCAGCCGGGGACAGGCCGAACGAGGCTCTTCTTCAGGGTGGTGAGGCAGACACAGAGGAGGGTGGTGCACAGGGAGACATTGCAGAAGAGAGTAGGCGAATGAGGCGGGGGGGGGAGGCGCTGGGGTGGTTATGAGTTGTGACTGGGGGGACTGGAGCAGTCTGAAGAGCCAAGGGGCCTTGACACAGAAGCGTGAAGGAAGCGAGGGCTGGAGCGCTGAGGAGCAAAGAAGAAGTAGCGTTTCGTAGGGGAAACAGGAAGTACAAAGGCCCTGAGGTCTGTTCAAAGGTTATCAGAGGACGCCCTGCCCAGAAAAAAACACAGATGCCTCCACTGCCGCCCTGGTTGTTATCATTCTAGATATCATTATATATCAGAAGGTGAGATTGAGACTGGGAACGAAGTGGCCCCCTGGGAAGGTGGCTCTTCTGGGTTTTTCCTGTAGAAAACTTTCCTTGGGGAGAAAGGCTTCCATGAGCTTCAGTCCCTGCTTTCTTGTAAGACTCGGGTTGGTAATGTCCAGATTCACATTCTTGGAGTGGCAGCTGCTGCCGCCGCTGGCTCAGGACTGGAGACAGGGCTGGCTGCTGGAGGGCTCCCTGAGTCCACACCTGCTGAGAGCATTCTTTCCACATCCTCCCCTTCTGATCGCAGGCTGTGGTAAGGGGCAGTACTCAGACGGGGGCTCAGCTTGAGCCATGGTGGGCGAAGTGGCCCCTCTTGGCTGGGGAGAGGTGGATCTTGTCCTAATGCACCTGTTTTCTTTCGTTCCCTTGGCTCAAGACAGGCTCATGTCCAGGACAAACAAGGCCCCTGGGCCTTAGGCACCCACCACTGGTGATCGCCCCCCCATCCCATCCTCTCTGCCTGCCTGCCCTCTCTTCCAGCAAAGAGCCCTTACTCACACGCAGTTCAAATTTCCACTTCTTTAGGGACGAGGAGTGAATTCGCCTGGGGTAGAAAACCCACCCAAAGACTCCCCCCTTCATAGCACTACTCCGAGAATACCCAAATCTAAATGACCCCGGTTTCCCTAATGGGTAAAATGATCCCAGATGTGCCCTGGGGCCAGATGCCCGCAGCTCCAGTTTCACGCAGGAAATTGTTTTTGGAGAGGTATGGCAAGCCGGAAAGCCACTTACTGGCTTTTGACAAGACTTCTCTTGGCGAGTAAGTGGACACCGAGCTGGCTGTCTGCAAAAGTAAACACGCGTCTGTCTCAACCTAGATGCACGGCGCGTGTGTGGCCGGAGCAGGCCGCCTGCCCCGTCTGCTGGCTGGAAACTGGTGAGGGGTGAGCTGTGGGCTTCAGACCTGGGTCATAACCGAACAGTAGTTCTCGAGTTTGAAGCATGTATTTAGATACAAATTTTACTCGTGCTTCGTGCCCATTTAAATGGTGTATGTCAGAGAAAGAAGACAGAAGAAGAAAAGGAAGCCAGAGGCCTGGACATTGGTGGCAAGAAGAGGAGAGAGTGTCTACTGGTTTTGAACAATAGGGTATGTTCTTGTACCTGGACTGGTCCTGTGCATCTCCTACAGACACCAGGCCTGAGCACAGCGATGCTCCCAGGCCATGTTGGCAGGAAGCCAGTTATAAAGACGGGGTGGGGGGGCCCACGCTCAAGGCTATTAGGTTGAATATTTTGCTTTCATGAATAAATGTAGATCTTTGGGGAGTGGCTTCAAAACAAACCACAAACACAAACTTTATAAATTATGTAAATTCCTATTTATGTATATAATTGGCAACATCTGGGAATTGTAATGCCTGCTGGTTCTAAATCTCCTTCAGCTGTGTTCTGGCTGCGCTGCATCAACAGCGAGTGTGTGGGACAGGCCTGTGTCCCCTCTACTGGGTGCTTTGGGCAGAAGCCGCCCAGCTCCCCACCTGGGCAAATGCCAACGGCATGCCAACGGCAGCAGGAGAAGTCTTAGGTGGTGCACAATGTAACGTTGGCCTTGACTAGATGTTAAACTCCGAGGAGTGTTTCATAAGTTATTACAGGTATAGAAGCACATATCTATCATGAGGAAGTGAAAGCAACCGATTTGCTAGCAGGGTTTTGTACAGTTTAGAGAAGCGATTATTTATTGGGGAACTGTTCTCTACTTCAATTCCTTTATGGGATCTGTTAGAAGTAAAGTCACTGTATAGATACAGAGAGATTTTTAAAATTGCATTCTGAATCCAAACTCATATTCTTTAGAGCCTGAGTTACATTTTAAAAACGCATACGCACTGTTTGGCACGGTAGTGAGATGGTATCTCGGAGAGAAATTCATTTGTTGTGCGAACACTCAGAAAATACTAACTGTCAAATGCATAATAAAAAAATCCAAGAGCCTGCTCTGATTTGTGGGTTTTTCCTTTCTGGTGTTACATGCATGGCACACATCACCTTTCCACGGACCTCTGAAGGGAAAGGAGGGAGTTATAGTTCGGGTCTACAGTCAATTACGGAATGAGATGAGGGCCTGCTTGACTATTAAAGAAGGAGTGGGGTTTGGGGACCGTCCGAAGAAGGTACAACATTTGAGGCAGCCAGAAAGAGAGAGATTTGAGGAGAGGGTTGGTGGCTTCCAGGCCTTCAGGACGCAGAGCTTTCCCCTCTGGCCTACGGGAATGACAATGGCCCATGGGATGCCGGGGAGGGGACACTGCTCCGGACACCTGTGAGCTGGGAGCCAGAAGTGATCACGAAGCAGCAGGTTTTAGCCTTTAGGATTTTGGAAGGCAGCTAGGTTCACCACTATACCACAAATGCGCCTTTAGCATTTTGGAACTTTGTGGGGGTTGGGATAGGAGGGACTGTAGGTATTGATTTATTTCCACTCTTCCTCCTTGCCTCTCTGTCCCCTCCTGAATCCAGACTCAGAGAGCACCAGAGGGAGGTGCATTGGACAAAGACCAGGAGGCGGCCAAAGAGCAAAAAGAAATCCAATATTCTGAGTAGGTTTGATCACTATCTAGTCTGCGCAGACCCAAGAGCCTCTTGTTTTAATTAAACTCATTTTAGACAGTTCTAACTGATGAACTGAGAGGTGGGTACTGACTTACTCAGCAGGATGTGGAGTGGCGCGCAGCGGGAGGTGCAGGTGCTCAAGGGAGGCGTCACAGCGGGCCTGATGAGCGACGCAGACACCTAGGGCAGGGCACAGCCCGCGAGTTCCGGGAGCTAAGAGAGTCCAGCCGTGCATGCGGCGGGTTGTCCTGGTGGTCGGGGAGCTGCGGGCAGGATGCCCTACAGAAGTCACAGGCCCAGCTCGAAGGGAGCAAGAGCTTGAAGATGCGGAGTCCAGAGCACTGACCTCGCGGGCCCGCGGAGCCTGTGGCCCTGCTCTCCCAGAGCGAAGGGCTGTTGCGCCTGGACACCCGGCTTTACCACCAGCGCCTAGGAGATTGAACTGAAACGCTCAGGCTGGGTCTCCTCATTCACAAAAGGGGTACGATACCCGCCTGGGTCCTCGGAGCTTTCTCGAGAGATCCATTGAAATCTGCATGGCTTCACACTTTCAAATTAGTCATCAGGCCCCCCACCTTTTTAATTTTTGCTGAGCGTTTCTTGTGGAATCACACCTTTGTACTTAAAATGTGCTTCAAAGTAATGATGTTACTTCTGATTTATGAAAATTGCCAGTTTATTTCTTTGGTGTAGAAGATATAAGTTCTTCCAATCCCCCAATTCTTACATGCAGATTCCTAAGTATTTTAAAGCTTAAGCGAGTCCAGGTAGCTGTTACTGCGAGCAGTACAAATCCACCTCACCAGCTGTCATGGCCACGCAATTGCCTTTCATTCTGCTGGCAGCAGGGCTCGGGGTGGTTGAGGTCTGAGTGGTGTGGTATTTCGTGTGGGAAAATTGTGAGAAATAGTAACACATTACCCTAAACTCATAGACCAGTTATATTTCCATATATGTTGGGATTAAATAGGAAGATACTGATGCAGTCTGGGGGAGACTTCTCAGAGGACAGAAATAAGAGTGAGCCAAGCCAAAGCATGCAAGACGGACAGCCCAGGGAAGGGGAGAGCCCAGTAGGGCTTCAGAGCCTTAGGCGGGGACGAGGCATGGCCAGAGGACAGTAGGGAGAGCTCTGGGCGACCTATGGCCTTGGCCCTGCTGACTCTGCAACCTTGGAACCACAGTGGCATGCCTGTAGTGGGCGGGGCACGAACGGTCCCTGTCTGAGAGGATGAGACTCAAAGGGCGAAACTGCCTGGTCTGTGTTGCACTGGTTCTTTGTTTTCCTGCTTCTTAAGCACACCCTAGATGAGGCCTCGAAGCTTCTTCCTGAAACCATCTCACCAGAAGAGGAGCAGCCGTGTAGCTGAGCCCTCTGCGTGGCTGACCCTGGTGGAGACTCCCAGATATTTTCTAGGGCCGGGAACTAGGCCTATTTGTGTTTTGCTGTATATTTATTCACATGAGAGGGCAAATAAACATAGGCCATTTGGAGCCATAAAAACAGGGGAACACGGTGAGTCTTATACAGAAGAAAGGAGTAAGAATTCTATGGAAATATGAAATACATTGCTAGTAAACCATTTGTGTTATTATGTGACTACTGGTAAATATTTTATTTGTATACATAGTGAGTGTTTTGGTCTTGTGGGTCCCTTGTTGTCTGTTACAACTATTTTGCTACGCTGCCTCTGGAGCACCCTGGCCAGTGTGCACAGCCTAGTGCTCTGCAGGGAGTCGCTGGGCCAGGTCAGGCCAATAGGCCGTGGCTGCCACGGTCTTCTCTACATCTTTGTCTTCTGCACATATAGCTCTCTTGAGCTGTGTGAGTGATAGTTTCGCTGGGGATAGAATTTTGGGTTGACACTGTAATTCTTCAGGTGTCTGAGGATATCATTTCATTATCTTCCAGTATCACCCAGAAATCCTCTCTAAGACCCATTATCCTCTCTTCGTATGTAAATTGTATTTAGTCTCCTGCGGCTTTAATATTATTCCTCTTCGTTGTTGGTGTTCTCTGTTTCAGTAGGGAGTGACCAGTCAGAGATTGTTTCTCTCTCTCTCTCTCTCTCTCTCTCTCTCTCTCTCTCTCTCTCTCTCTCTCTCTCGTCTTTTTGAGACAGGACCTCACTATGCAGGTCAGGCTGCCCTTCAACTCACTATGCAGCCCAGGTTGGCCTTGAATTCACTGCAATCCTCCTGCCTCAGCCTCATGAGTGCTGGGATTATAGGTGTACAACACCACGCCCTGCTCTACAAATCATAGCCTGGTATAACTTTTCATTGTGTGGGTCCCTCCTCCTCCCTTTTCCTTATGTAAGGTTTTGGGCTTTATCCCCCAACACTGCTTCTCTAGCCTCTTGGTCCCTATTACTTAATTTTCAGTTAAAATGCATCTTTCCTTTTCTCTTTTCCCCTTAGCTTGTGTATTGCATATTCTATTCTTTTTCCCCCTACATTGAGTTTAAGATTAAAAATTAAGGGCTGTCATTAGAAGACATCTTAGGTTATTTGGGGACCAAATTTTCCCATAAAAACAGGGGCCATCTGCCAACCCCCACACACCTCCCTTGTGCAAGGTGTGTGTGAGGAATCCGACACCCCTGCTAATGGTTCTTATTTATTCCAGAGCGTGCCATCTTGTTCATCCTTCAGTGTAGCTCCATAATCTAAGTACTATTATTGTCCTCGTATGCTAGATGACCAGGAAACCCGAGTGCCAGAGGCGTAACTTGCCCAGGGACTGAGCCAGAGCGTGCAGCACACTTTTTCTTTGTGGTTCACTTTATGCTCACTTGTGCAGTTATATAATTAGTGACTGCAAATGACAGAGAAGAATTAAGGCTGACAATAATTATATGAAGAAGGTGTTTTTAATTAAAATATTTAACAGGTAAACCCGTACATGATTCAAAAGTTAAAGCTATCAAGAAAAAATTCTATATATAGAAATCTTATCCTCATCTCTGTCATTGGCACAATGTTTCCCTTTGTCCTTAGATATTCATTTTTATTATGCTCTGGTCTACCTCTTTACATTTCACCATGCAAGTAAGT